ACCTTAGGCTGTAGGAAAGATTTGTAAAAATGCACGAGGACATATAATGAGATAGGTGCTTATCTGTATTTGGCTCCATCTTAAGTTGCTAAAATGGGCTTTGTAGATCATTACTGCTTTTATTTCTCCTCTTTAATGTCATCTTGCCTGCTTTCCCTTAATATCTATTTAAAGGAAAACCTGGGGCCATGGGTGGCTTATGGGAATTTCACACTGTCTTTGCAGCGTTTCCCTGCCCCTGTGCCCTCCCTGCTGGCCGTGAAAGTCGTGCTCTTGGGAGGGTCAGCTGAAATGGCATGTGTTTGACAGCGATCTCCTGGCTGCCAGCTGGAGCTGTGGCTTAGACTGTCCCTTGCAATGGACAGGAGGTTGTTTTAGGGAATATTCTCATTAATTTTTGTGGGAGTAACTCATCAGGTCGAGTTCTGCACTGAAATAGTAACTCTTTGCATTCAGTTTAGTTTTGTGATGCTTAATTAAAATAGCATGGCTGTGGGTCTGCATTTTACCATCCTGTGCTAGGCATAAAAGCAGGTAAAGAAGAGCGTTTTATCTTTTGCATGCCCTTTGTTTTGGGGCCTTGCCTGGTCCTTACTTCTGGCTGACTAACGCAACCGTTCCTTCCCTCAGGGAAGGGGAACAAAGATTGGCTGGATTCCCTGTTTCCTCCCACTCTGCACTCCAGTCTATACCCAGGTCAGGAGAGAGATCAATACAGGACCACTGTCACTGGGGTAGCTGCAACTCATTCTGATGAAACGCTGCTAGTGGTTTCACTGGACCAGAGAAAGCTGGAGAAGTCAGTGTGGGGTCATCCTCCCCATGCACTTGTGTCCCCAGTACCCTGTACTCATGTCAGCCACCCCAGGTTACATGGGTAGGGTTGGTGCCATGCTATAGCATGCCCTGTGGTTACGGTCCTGAGGTCAAATGTTTTCTATTTGTCATAGATGAATTAATGAACGTGTCTGCAGGGTGCAAGGCAGCATTGCATCAGAGATATACGGGCTTCAACAGAGGGTTAAAGAGGGAAAAATAGTACAGTAAGAGGTAGGGAGGATCTTCTGTCTGCGCTTCTAGCCATGTGACTACAGGGGTGACTGAAGAGGTGAAAAATTGACAAATTATTCTAAAATGAATCCAACTGAAACAAGCAAAATAAATCCTTCATGAAACCTGTCACGTGCCATCAGTAATTCATTGTGGGACAGAACACAAAAGCAGATCATTCCATCAGCTGCCTTGCTGTATGTGACCTTGATTTAGCAGGCAGGTGAGACTGGGAGCGGTGGCCTTATCTTGGCATGTCTCTGGCTTGGCCATTCAGAGCCGTAAGACTAAGAACCGTGAAGCTTTTGACAGTGTATTTCTTTCCTGCAGCTATTATCTTTTACTGATGAGTCAGTGCATTTTAATCTAATGGGGAATTTTGCAGTACAGCTGAACCAAAGGGTTTTAGTGGATGAAAAAGAGGAGAATACCATCAAGGAAATCTCTGCAGCTTGGCATCGAGCTTTGTTGACAGCCAAGGGCAGCTTAATCAGTGTATTTGGAAAATCCTGACTACTGATAAGTAAGGGGTTTGGAGAAAAATACTAAGTGATGCTCATTAAGGCATTCATTGTACTTTTCATTGTTTGTATAGCCCTATTGTCTTGCTGTACAACTGTAGTTAAAGGAGTAGTGATATTAGTAGGAATTAACGTTGTTAATTTCTGCTGTTTGTAACTTCTGAAATCTTCTCAAATAAAGCTGCTATTTCCATTCTACCCAGATCTATTATTTGCTTCTCCCTGCCCTGAAATTCATGGCTTAGTGACTAGGAAGGTGGTTGCAGAGAGCTAGGCAGAGGAAATCCACTGTCTCTCTATGATTTGTTATACTCCTCTACACACCCAGCAATTCCTGAAACCACTATAAGTGGTTTTGTGTGAAAAAGCGGGGTGTGGGGTGGTGGATATTAATGCTTTGAGATTTCTAAGGGAGTTGGCACTGATGGCATTGATGACTTCCAGCGCCAAGGTGATCTAGTAGGGTAGAACCGCTTAACTGTGAAAGAGGAAATCTGGGAGTATAAAAGAACTTGTGTTTTGATCCCGTTATCACTCTGAACATGCTTCAGACTAATTGTGAAACTCAACCACTTCTGTTCAGGGATTTTGACCTGCAGTTGGAGGGGCACATGCCCAAGCTGAACTAGCGCTAAAAATCTCCACATCTGTCCCTGTTGCCCTTTTAGGAAAGACATGTTAATTGCTAAGGGCTCCAATTCACATGCCCTCTTGGCTTTATCTGCAGCTGCTGAAATGCTCCTCAGCTGCTGCAATTCACAGACTGGCACATCAAGTTAAAGCATCACGTATTGGTAGTTTATATTAAATACACTGGACTGAAAACTGGCAGATGAAGAGCCCGTTCTGCCTGCTGTGGGGATACAACCTCCATGGGGAGGCAGGAGGAGAAAGCACGCAGCTCGGGTGTAACCTTTTCAAGCCCCCACAGGTAAACCTGCCCCAGGTAAATTCTGCCCAAGATAGTGACTCAGAGCCCCACATCTAACCTCAATTGCTCATTAAACTTATTGGGACTTAAAATGATGAAGTAAGAGTTGCTCATAGTCGCTGAGTAGTAGGTGATCTAATAGATAAAAGCCCACGTGGAATTGCTGGGTTTGGCTCTCTTTGGTGCCACTGATCAAGCTGCTTTCAGACAGGACAGGAAAGCACTCAGACTCTTCTGCTGAGAAGCAAATCCTGCTGCTGCCAGTGATCTGTGGGTTCATGTCAAATTAAAGTTCATGCTGACAGATAAATTCCTTCAACCTCCTTTCTACATTGCTATGAAAAAGCACTGCTGAAAAACTTGGAATTCTTCACATTCATTATATTTTTGCATTATCTTTATTATAAAGGGGCATTTCCAAAGCAGTGTTCAGGATCTGTAACAGCCTTTGGTAGAAGAGGATGAAAAACCTACATACTCAAGGTGGAAAGTGGTGGGTCCATGGGAAGGGCTGTGACACGGTTACAGTACAGTAGGGGCCAGGACTTGATGACATTAAAGTGCCTTCAGCACTGTGTTCCCATAGGAACCACAGTACAATTCTTAGCAGAGCGTGGCCTCCTTTACTGTCAGATCTGGGAAAGCAAGGTTTTTTCATAGAACTGTTAATAGTAACGTTAGGGGATTTACTGTCTCTCTTCACCTTGGGTATTTCCTGGCTGTCGGTTCATTTATGGTTCTAATCAATCTTTGGAAGAGGATTTGCTGTCAGAAACAGGAGTCTCTCCGTGCGTTTCTTGTACTTGCCAGTAATAGGGTATCTGAGAGGGAAGTTTTGTTTGCCTGCAGTGTCAATACACGACTCTTACTCTCCTTCCAAAGATCCATCTGGATTTTTCTTTTGAATAAGATCTCTCTTTCTCTTTGTTTCAATTTTGAAATCTTCAGAGGAGTTCGTTTCAAACACTGTACTGGCTCACACACACCCCTACATACATTTTCCAGTTTTCCCCAGTAGTCCTCTGTCAGCGGCAAAAAAGTACATAGAGAACAAAATAGGGAGAGCATAGGTGGGGTTTTTTCAGACATAAAAAACATCTTATCTTATATCAAGGGGAAGTTGTCTTTATTCACACTTTGGCAAAACAAAGTGTTAAAGAAGCTCTGAGATCTGTCAGCTTTCAGAGAACATCCCGCTTTTTTTGCATTGATTTCTAGCAGCTTATTTTTTGGGCATGAGCAATTTAGAGCTGCTTCTCCCCTATCCCTGGAGCTCCTGGGGCTGTTCATGTCTGACTGTTCATGGAGCGTGCTGTAACGGATCCAAGGATGGGGATGTTGGCAAACATTACTACACCTGGAGCCTGCATTGTCACCTGGCAGTAGTCAAGACAGCAAATAACTATAAAACATGTTGAACTGGTCACAACAAGTGTAACCAGGATTAACATGATTCTTTTCAAAGAGCAAGTTTGTTCTTCTATTTTGAGTCATCTCATTTCATTTAAAAGGTCTTGAGTGACCTACAACAGATGAAGTAGCTATGATTAGGTATTTTCCACGATTGCACAACTGTCCATCTGCTCTGCTTTTCTGCACAATCCTGGTTGAAGACTCCAGTGTTGTGCATGCCACCAAGGCTGGGGATATGAGTGGATGGTATCACACACTTTCTAAGTGCCTGTGATCATGAAGGTGTCCAACTGCCTCTGTTGATGAGTCACCCTGCAACGAAGGAACGAACTCTTCGAGAGAAGGAATTTACAAGGTTTTTACACATATGGCCAGACTAAATAACTCTAGTCTGGCGTGATATAGCAGAAACCAGTTATGAAACAAAGATCAGAACAGTTTTAAAATCCAAGGCCTTTGGAAGGAGTAGAAAAGCACATCTGGGGAAGTAATTGCAGATTTTAATTTTTCTCCTCCTTCTCCCTTCCTTCTTGTAAACTCGTACCACAAGTGAGCCAGAAATGTTGCTGAAGGGAAGGAGAGGAAAGGATCAGATTAGCATAATGGCCAGTTTCTGGGTATATGTTATAAAATCTGACCCTAATCCTGCTATCCTGTAAGAAAGAGATGCTGGGAAATCACTTTCTTCCCGTCATGACCAGTGACCTGCAGATGAATGATCTGGCTGAATGTAACTGGGGTTAGCTCTCTGCTCTTGAGCTGCCTGTTGACTGTATTTTAGCCATTTCCAAACTCACTAGCAGCACACTAATATGGCGTGGGGTGGCTGGCACAGCCAAATTCCTCCCAGTAACTCAGAGCACCCCAGGAAGAGGCAGACCTAACACTGGCGAAGTGCACCTTGCAAGCGAAGGGCATGTGGGCAGAGCCCCTGTATTGCCCTGTTAATCCAGAACGATGCTACTGTAACATAGGATCAGTGCCTTGGTCTTTTAAGTTGAGAGCAATAGTCTCACCCTGGAAAATGGCAAGGCGGGGATATTTCTGATTTCAATCACTTTACCCTTGTTGCTTTGTCTCTCCAGATGATGTTCGATTGTTTGGCTTTGTCCGATTCACCACTGGCGATGCCATGAGCAAGCGAGTCAAGTTTGCCCTCATCACTTGGATTGGAGAGGATGTCAGTGGCCTGCAGAGAGCCAAAACTGGGACCGACAAGACTCTGGTCAAAGAAGTAGTACAGGTAACCTCTTCCTTCTGCTTGTAGCCATCAGTTCTCATTGCTTTTAGCTCTACAAACACCAGCAGGAGGTAAAAGAGGGGGAAGGGTTGGATCATCCTTCAACGTAGTAGTTAATCCTTTAAAAAGAAGACCGTTTCCTATTGCCTGTCTTCCTATTAGGAAGACTTAACATCTGCCCTTTGAGCGCTCGGGCATAAAGAAGCACCTTTGAGCTTAAGGCTGTCTTAACTATTTCACGAAGAGGGAATATATGCACTCCCCTCCTTGTCACCATTAAGATGTTTCCCATCTCCTTCCTTGATATGGAAATAACATAATACTGAATGGTAGAGAACAAGGCATTATTAAGTTAAGCAGGTAAAATTAAATAGAAAAACCACGCCCTTGTTTAAACTTTTCTCTTGAGACCTTTTGTCTCAGCACAATAAATTTGTGGACCTAATCAACTAAAGTCTGAAGTCCCTATCAGTACAAATTAACTAACAGCTCTTAATAGCTAACCAGATTTGTATAGTCTTCTGTTTGGCTTTGGGCGTATCAGGGAAAAAGAGAAATGTGCTTAGTACACACCTTGGAAGGGCTTCACTTTAATTTGCTTGCCCCAGCTGAGTTTATCATTTAACTCTGTCAAGGCCTCCCAGGGCACTCTAAGCTGGGCTCGCTCTGTCAGGCTCCAAGCTCAGTCCAAGCGAGTGAAAACAAGCAACAGCCGGGAGAGAAGTGAATTGTGGAAGGCTGCAAAGAACTGCTGCTGAAAAGCTGACTTAAATGGAGAAGATGCTAACATTTAGCATGTTTCCTCTGAAGAATTATTTAGAGCAAGATTAGCTCTTTCAACTAAACTTAGGGCCAACTCTCCAATGCCTGAGAAGTGGTCTTTCTTAAGCGCTTGGACAACAGGCTGACCATTGAAATAATGCCCCTCAATAATTGTGTTCTTGCCTATGTAAAGAAATCTCCCAGTAGGACAATATGAAGGATGAGAATGAAGTCCTTCTCAATTTATTGGTAGTTTGTATGATACAAAAGATTATATTTAGATAAGAAGCATGAAGAATATAATAAATTCATATCCTTCCAGAAGATAAGCACTGGTGCTAAATCTTTCAAAATGACAACTACACAGAGGGGTCCATTCTGAATAGAAACTTCTGTAATGACACCTGAGAGATAGGAAGGCAAATCTCTGTTCATGTGAAGCAGCTGAAACTGTAATTGTAGCTGAAGATGAAATTGTAGAGTACTAATGAATGATTCATATAAGAGTCACTAAGCCCAAGATTTTTTTAAAAATATGTTTAGACAATTTATTCCTGTTGAATTGAATAGCATTCCTGAATGCTGTTCTAAGATCTGTCCCTCAGGTCTGTTACATATAATTTGCAATTTCACTTGTTTCATCTTTGATTAGTAGTCTGTATGAGTTAATAATCTGGTGGAACATTAACCATTCTTGGCTGTTACTTAAAAGCTTTCATATTCCAATTAATCTGTACTAAAATATGAAAACAATACAACTTGTGCTTAATACACTTTTATTGAGCAACCATGTCTATAACCCACTCCAAAGCATTTCTGAGTCTAATGTCAATGGTGATCTCCTTGACAACTATTTTGAATAGTTCTACATATGCAACCGAATCCCTCTGAGGGGAGTGGGATAAAAGCAGAACTATTTTCTTCTTTTTATGCACGTAACCTTGCAGATAATCTGTCAAAACAGAAGAGGACAAGCAAGTCCAACTGAAATTTAGTGGAGAGAATTTATCCCAGAGCTATTTCACTCTTACTAGTTCTCTTGACCTTCAAGTGCATTCCGAGTCACCCCACTGCTTCTGATTTTTACAGAGATTATTTGAGATGTAAGTTATACATAGAAAAATACAGCTGGTTGTTTGCTGTAATGCTAAACTACAAATCTGACTGAGTGTTGGTTCATCATTTGGAATAAGTAGTACCCTAAAGTAGGTTTTTTTTTCTTTACAAACCCTGAAGACAATCTAGGGTATTGATGCAGTTTGGCTCTGTGTAGTTTTAGTTGCGTGCATGGCCCATAGGTGCACTTACCCTGTGCGACATGGCTCTCCTTCCAAGGAAGTGCGGCACAAGGAGGCTTTTTGTACAGCAGATAACAGCTTTGATTTTGTGATCTATAGAAGTGATTGGTTGGGATTCCAGAACAACAGCTCTTCAGTCTGAGAAGCTCTTGGTAAAACTTGAAGGGCTCTCACTATCTTGTAATATTTGCAAAAGCTAACTGTGGCTCTTTATTTAAGACCAAAGCTCCAGTGTGAGGGGAGGCCTGCTTTATATTCCCTGCTACGTTGTAGATGCATTGATGAGCTACGGTTGAGCTCTGCTCAAAGCTGAACAAATGCCAGTAAATGTTGTTCTTCCACCGAGACACTCAAAGTGAAAGACAGTCAGCTTGAATACCGCCTAGCAAGCAAAACCCACCATGTTGCATCTGTAGAATAAAGTGTTCACACATGCTGATTATTAACGGTCTCCTAGAAGCACCTGCCATAAGGAAAATGTGCTTGAAGAGTAGATTATGGGCTTGTGAACAAAAGGATGAAATATTATAAAGCAAGGAGAGGAACTGGGTTGCCCTCGCTTTTGTATTCTTCCCTTGGAAGGGGGAGCAGGTGCTGTGAAATCTATAGGGAGGTGGCTTGGGAAGCAATGCTGATAGCGGAGGAGTTTGCCAGAAAATCTCTCAGGAAGAAAGGACAATTGATTTTTAGCTGTAATAACTGTAAAATTACAGGGATGGATCTCATCTGGCGCAAATAGCTGTAGTTCTCCTGGTCTGTACTAGCTGAGAGTCAGGTCTTCTTGCTTATTTGGGACTATCCTTATTACCTTTTTAATGTTGTTGGGAAATGGGTTTTGCATTTATTGTATTTATTTTGGATTGTAGAAAAATGCATTTTGCATTTAAGGAACATTCAGTAGCTTTTTTTCACAGCCATTTATTTTCCATCCTTTCCTCTTTACCTCAGCTGGAAATCTTGGATCAAGCCCCTGACCTGGTCCAAGTAGTTCAGCTGAGAGCAGGTTAGAAGTAAGGCCAGGATAAGGAACAAGTATTTATCTATATCTTCTTAAGGGTATAGCTAAGTACTAATGTGCGGAGACTTTCCTGTGTAAATGGAGACATGGAGTAAGGTGATGCAGTATTCCATCTTTTCTCCACTGAGCTTCTGTCTAGGCCAAGGACAGACCTACGGGTGAGAGGCAGTAGCACACAACATCCCATGCTTTGCAGACTGTTGCTTAAGATGTTTGGGAGTTCATTTCTGGTATACAGTCTAAGCCTAGAATGATCTAAACTTAACAGCTGAGGAACTTCATGAAACAGTAAGCCAGGATGACTTAAACTACAAGGCTGCATCTATTTTGTTATCAGCAGTAGCGTGCCTCACCTTGTGCACATGGGTGAACTGGCAGATGCTTACAGTGAGTCACACATGCAACAGACCCCAGCATTTGTGTCCTCTGCACAGCTGCAGTTTGATCGCTGTGCGCCGGTAGTTGTCATGCCAAGGTTGTACGCAGCTGCCAGTAGATACCAGCTGAACGGAAAGGCTTTGGGCATATTTTCTACTTGGATAAAAAGGAGATCAACCAACGCTGGTCTTAAACTCATGTTTTATGTCCCTGGCAGTAAGGATGGTTCTGCCTTTTACCACCTTTATATGCACAAGCTGTGGCTCATTCAGCCTTAGTACAAATCCATCCAGGAGACTCTCTGTTCTCTGAGGGATGTTGTTTTGACCTCTTTTATTCCAGAGGCCCAGGAGAAACAGATCGGTCAGCTTAAGCCCAGAAATCAAGGCTATTGTAAGCTGCTTGTCATGGCTAGGATCGGCTGCCAGCATGAGGTTCAGTTCAGCCATAAAAATTCCTGCAAGGTGAAACCTGGCAGCTGTGGGTTTTAAGTACAGGAGCTTCAGGCCTTCCAGTGAATGGCCCTGTTCACTTTGAGGAGAGACAGAGGGATGATGTTACGGTGCTTTTCTTCGAGTAAGGACAAGCCCAAGCACAACAGGAGTGGCAACCAGTGCTAAAGTGGTCCAGTTTTAATGTAAATGCTGAAGAACTGAAAACAGGACTTGGTTTCCCTCCGAGTGTTGCTTCCTCTCTGTGAACTTCTTGCCCTTCGTGACTGCATTTCCTACCAGGAGATTTTAACCCTTCATGAGGCAGCGTGGAGGTCTTTTTCCTGATGGGACTGAATTTGCCTGCAGGGCTGTCTCAGCAACGGGACTGCTCAACCTTTGCTGGTTTGTCTTATTTTCCATGAATTTTGACTCTTCTCTGTTTTCTTCAGCACTCCTGCTCCCACAAAGTCATGTGCCTAAATCATATTCAGGGTAAAACAGCTCTGTTTCTGTGAGCAAATATTCCTGGCATTTTATTCATTATTATTTTTGGTGAGGAATTTGCCTGGCTTCAGTGATGTCAACAAGTTTACTGAGTTCCTGCTTTGGAGCTCATGGCCAGATCTTTTTTTGTTCACCTTTCTCTTTTTCTCTGGATTCCTCACTGCATTGATGCGGGTACCTCATGAGGGAGGACGCACTTCTGGGGTTACTGTCCCTGGTCTTGGGACAGATACAACACATATAACTCCATGTATGTACATTAGGTTTCTCATTTTAGTACAGTGGCCTAAACAGAAGATGGTTTAATAGCTTTGTTAGAGGCAGTCAGAAAATCAAACTCATATGGTAACGGCTATGTCACGGTGGCTTTGAGACAGTCTTTCTCAGGAGGGTGAGTAAGATCCTACTGGGAAGGCAAACAGAATTGTCCTGTTTTTCCTATTCTGGTTTACTGTAATGACCATACCAAATGGATATGGATTTACAAGAACTCCTAGTCCTAGTCTAGAGAAAGTGGTAACTTTATAAGTAACTTCTTCAGGCCAGAATAAGCAGCTTCTCATCACCCCACATCTGACACACAGCCCTGTGACTTTTCCAGTGGGATGCAGCACAGATAGGAAGAATTTGCAGATCAGCTGAAATGTAGTTCCCATTGCTGAGAAATGTGTTTGCCAGAGGTTTGGGCTGGCGTCTCCCAGTGGCTGGAACTGGTCCACATAAAAATTGGCAAAGAGTAAATCTGAAGAGAGGGTTTTTGCTGATAGCTTGGACTCCCACAGCTGATCACGGGACCAGGATTGGTGTAGCCAGAGTCGAGTGGAGGGCAATGGTACTGTATTGCTATAGGCACTTGTCAGTTTATAGCTCTCCTTGTACTCAGAGAAGCCCTGCTAGAACATACCTCTGCTGCAAACTTAGGATATGTCCTTTCTTCCCCGTGACCCCAGGTCTAGGACTCATACCATGCAGGAAAAGAAACATGGGAGATGTCATCTCCCCTGTACTGCATCTGCACGGACAATAAGATGACCAGTGGATGGAAGTGGTGACATTAAGCACAGTGGAACTGAGGGTTTTGAACATCAGCGGAGGCTGCTGCAAGCCCCAATGTAATAAAAAAAGCAAGAAGCTGCTCAACTACCTGGCACTGTCCCTAGCTGCTAAGAACCCAAGTGTCTGTAGACGATACAAGGATTTTCCTTCTGGCTTCAGGCCTACCCATGCTGGGATTTATAAGGGCCTCTGCAGACCTTTTTGGTACAGTATCTGCACCAGACAGATTTTCCCTTGGCCAGCTTAGGGAAATTTTATGGCCCCATATGCTAAACATTCAGGGCCTGGAATAGGAAGAAAATCTACTCCACCCTTTTTTTCCCCCCATAAAGTTGTCTGGAAGAGAAAGGCTGGACTGAACATGGTGTACAAATTTCATGCTTCCCAGGGAGAGATGCAGGCTCACTTTTTGCAACCTGACCTGCATGGTTGGAACCCTTTCTCTCTGTAGTGTCTCATGGAGGTTGACACAGGGGATTGGACTGCAAAATTGTGACCCTCTGCTACTCAGGCACAAAGTGAAGCACGCGCTAGATAGGTGTATTGAGTAAACCTTACTTTTTACGTGGTGTTCAATGATTTGAGAGGCAAAGCAAAGAGACTGTGGTTACTGGTGTGTCCTGAGAGTGATAAAGATAAATGGCGTCATTGTTTTTGTTATCTGTAGGCTGCTGGTGACTCTGGGGTGAATACAAAGGCTAGAATTCATTCACAGGGCTTGCTGTGGTTGTAAAAAGCTTGGCGAGAGGGGGAGGAGAAGAGAAAAGGAAGTGGAGGTTGTAAGATGAAGATGCATGTCAGCAAAGTGAGGCCTCAAGCATCAGAGTTATGCACTGTGCCTTAGGCGGCTATAACTTCTGCAGATTCTCTTGAAAGGCATTAGATAATCGGTATGTGTGAGAGAAGAGAAAGCAGGGACTTTCCCCACCCCAGTCTCTTAAGGGCAGAAAGAAAATCTGGTGGCAGAGCAGAAATCTGTTGGCATTGCTGTCAGCCTCTTGAAGCTAGGATTTTTCCTGGTGCTTTGCAGGAGCCCATTTGCTATGACCAGTTATTTATAATTGCAGATGACAGTCATGCCAAATAAGGACCATTGCCTGGTCTAGCTAACATCAGACCCAATTAAATCAGTTGGGAGTAGTTTTACATTCTGGCAGTTTCAGTGGGGACAAAAAAAAGAACGAACTCTGGATAAGATGGCCCTCGGCTGAAAAGTGCTGCTGTTGATCGTGGGTGCCCAATCTCCTGATCTGAGAGCCAGAGTCTCTCCTGTCTTCCTGCTTTGATGACACAAGAGGCAGTTTCAGCTGTCTTTAAAATACTTATATGCCTCCCTTCACCTTATGATTTGCACCCTGACCAAAAGCTCAACCCCAAAGAGCTCAAACAGTGAATTCAGAGTGATGAGGGAGGCTCAAGGCTCAAGAAGGATATTGAAATCAGGAGTTCCACACAGCAAACTTACCAGAAGCGTCTTCTCCCTTTGGGGCCAGGCTTGATGAGACATCGTAGTGGGTAAGAGCCGGTGTGAAGAACCAAAGAAGCCCCTGACAGCACCTGCCAGCAGAAAGGAATAAAGCAGAGTTATTAATAGCAGTGACCCAGATTGCACTCCGAGGGCACAAATCTGGCACAAGACGTGGCCCAGTCAGCTAAGAGGATATTTAAGAGTGGCTGGGAACATAACCCATCTGGCCACTGCCAGGGGGAGAGTGTTCAAAGCTTGCAAGGTATCTTGGTGGCATTGACATGAAATAGTGGCTGGTGTCCACAGATCATCACCCAGGAATCATCTGGATAACTGTCTAGTTGAGAAGACATTTGAATAATTATAATTACTTTGTGGTACATATAATTTAGTTCCCCTCTGTTCATGCCTGAGTGCACTTGCAGTTCTAATTTCAGAATCAGCTGGATTCTGCAGAGTGGGCATTGAAGGAAACCTTCCCCGCATTTATAAAATACACACACTTCTCATGGAATCCCTCTCAGAAATGATTTTATGGGCCTGCCTCAGTTCTCACTGAAGTCAGGGCAAAGACTAGCACTGAAGTCAGGTAGTCCTGGATAATCTGCTTCCTGAGTTGAGGAAAATTTGTTAAACCTGTTAGCACGTAGAAAAGAAATTGAAAAGGCTCAGCTCAAAAATCATGTAGGTAGCACACCTCAGTAAGCATCAAGTAGTTGAAGATCATTTGTTTGGTCTTAGCAAGAGCTGAGCTTTGCAGGGATCTCACACACAGGAGATCTTGAAGTAGGACACTTGTGAGCATGACCAAATCTGATGTTTTGGGCAGTTTGCCTCTTCATTTCCCATCTCAAAAAAAGGATTTTTTTCTCTAAATAAACAATTTCTTTCCCATTTTCCCTGAATTCTGCTAAGACATGGATGAGTGCCTGTAATGTCTGTCTGTCCTCACACCAGAAAAGCTGACCATTGAAGCGTGGAGCAAAATGGTGCTGTGAAGCAGTTGTTATTTCTTAGGACTTTGTCTAGCTGCTGATCAACTAAAGCAGAACAGACAAGGCTTCTCGTAGCTGCTACAAGCTTTCGCCCCCACCCCCAAGCAACTCTTCGATAGTGAGGATTTCCTACAGTGTGAAATGGGATCAGCCGCAGCCTGGGAGACTGGTATGGGGGAGGGAGCTGTTATGCTCTCCCTTCCATTTCTTCCACCGCATGAAAGAGGTGCTGAGGCTCTTTCAAGCTGAATCCTTCTCCACCCCCTCCTTTACCCGACTCTGATCCCAAACTGAGACCCTTGAGACGCTGCCAAATAAAGAGCTCTCCCATGGCTTAGAGTCTGAAACCAATTAGGAACCCCCCCCCCTCCACGGTTGTGCCGGGGCTGTTCCAGCGCCAGGGAGACCCGGACAAGATGACTGCTTCTCTCTCAAAGCATCGCCTCATTTTCCCAGGCAGCCTCCGTCACCTTCTGGGGAGCTCGCTACCCAGGGAGCCAGGCATTGCAGCTTTCCTGAGACATTGCAGCAGGGCTGTTGGGATTTTAATTAATTTTTTTTGTCGTCAGTTTGTCCCTGGTCCTGCAGAGTGCAATGAATGCTTGGGCTTTTCATGCTGCCTAAAATCTCTGTGGGTTGGGCGGAAGGGAAAGACACATGCAGTGTTTTCAGTTGTGGTTAGGAAGGGAAGGAAAATCCTAAAGCAAGAAGCAAATGTGCATGTTTGCTGAAATATCTGTGCATACACAGGCATGCCACCCTTGATACGAGGCAGGAGGGACAGCCCCCACAAAGGAACAAATGCCTGACTGTAGTGACACTGCCGTGACAAGTGCCCTAAAAGCACCGTGGGATCCATTCACAGCGATCTGTTTCTGAGAAAGGTTTTCTCTGTTCACAACCTCACATCACAGCATGCTGCCTAGGGCTTGCCCAGCTCCCATAAGTTGCAAAGAGCATTCAAGCAGCTAGATAGCTGCCCTGCAGTACACAAGTGTATTAATAAAGCTTGTCCTTAAAGGTCACTTTGGATCATTAGACCACAGAGCAGAGTGGAGCCTATTCACAACACCAGCAGCCTGTGTAGTACAGTATCTCTGTTTTGGCCATGATGTGTATTAGATAGTTGAGAGGAGGAGTCAGTAAATCTACTGAAGTAGACTTAGTTGCCCCTGGTACCATCTGCGTGTTGCTCAATCTTTAATCGAAGCATCCTCCCATCCGCTGGTGGGGTACGGTACTGTAGTATACTGTAGTGTAGCGCTGTTCTCCTTGTTTTGGGAGAAGGGCTCCTAAAAAGGACCAGGACAGAGGCAGGATTAGTGACTTGCCGAAGATTATGCCGAGGGTCTGTGGCAGTTAGGAGGTCAACAGTTTTGAGCTTTTTAGTTTTCGTACTACTTAGGAAACTTGACCTAACCTAGCCTGTGCATTTATCACTAGGAAGACTTGTTGCATAGGGCAGGATCGGGTCTTGCATCCAGTGACTGTAGAAGTAGAAACATAAAATTTCTCCAGGTTAAGTCTTGGGTTTTGCCATCACTGGTCTTCTCTCTCATCCACAGCTTTCTATTTATCATCCCTACCACAGTAGATAAAGGTATACAGCTCATACAGTCATGGAAGCTGGATAACACTTCTTTATTCAGGTACTTGGACAAGTATCCCCTTTTTCAACAGGCTTTTTCTTTGTCTCTTGCAGAACTTTGCCAAAGAATTTGTGATCAGTGACCACAAAGAGCTGGATGAGGATTACATCAAGAATGAGCTGAAGAAAGCAGGGGGGGCTAATTATGATGCACAGACTGAGTAAACGCACGAACCTCCTGGCACCATCACCTGGATCTCAAAGGGAGGGGAAAGGCACAACAAACTAACACAACTGAGAGATGAGGCAACTGAAATCCCCAGCTTTCTGTGTGTGCACCTAAGAACTCCCTTCCTTTGCATACAGCGGACTTTTATTTTCCATTCCATCTCATGAAACGTCTCTCTCTGGGGTTCTGGGTTTTTCTTCCCCCCCATTTTTTTACTCATAACTCTGTCCATGTTCTCGCATCTGTGGAATTTAGGTTTGGCTCTGCTTTGGTCCTATTCAGCATTGTATTCGTAGAAGCTTGCCATTGTGTCCTTCTTCGTATGCATGCATGTCTGTGTGTTTTAGTTGGGCTCAACCTGGTCTCTGAGGGGAGAAAGTTCTGGGGGAGTTCTGAACATCGATTATTTTAATTTTTTTAAAATTTGTTCTCACTGATGTTCTTGGGAATAATATTTTTTGCTGTTCTAGGCTCAGATCAACTTGAGTTGACTTCACTCAAACTTTGATTAAATTGTCTAAGCTTAAATGTCCAGCTGAGATGTTATCTAACAGCTCAAAAAACAAAGCGAACAAACAAAAAAATTCTTCAACTCTTAATAAATGGTAATAAATTTGCCTTAAACATTGCTTGACAGTTGCTATGCTATGTGCTGCATCTCTACCCCTCCCTCTTAAAAATAAGATCCAGCATGATCCGAATGTGGAGGTTTTGTTGTTTTTTGGAGGTATCATGGCACAGTAAAGTGAGAGGCTTAGAAATGTCTGGACACTTGTTCACTATTTTGTGTACATTGGTCTCTGGGTTTGTATTTGACTTTCCTAACGCTGGGGCTCAGGAGGTGAAACTGAAATGCATAGATTTTCTTTTTAAATGATGTCTGCAAAAATAGCAGCCGCTGAATCCTAGCAGCCTTCTCTGCCCATCGTTTTTTGCAGTTAAACACAACATCTTCAGTTATTTGGGGCCTTCAGGCAGTGAACCATCCTACAGCAATGACCGAGGGATGGAGCAGGGCAGCTCTGTCTCAGTCGAGATGAAACATTCAACAGCAGAGGCTCAGAGATAACCTGGGCACAGTTTGTTTGGTACCAAACTGTTTGTTTGGGGGGCTTCTTTGTATGGCTTTTTTTTCCCATCAAAGGTGATTGTCCCCAGAATTATGTGTAGGGGGAAACTGTGTTGTACTGGGGCTTGGGAGTCAGCGCTATAAACCCATTACAGAAATAAATGTTTTTCAAGAACAGTTCTCAGCGACTCTGTTGTTCTTTTACCTTCCCTGCAAGAACAAGCCTATATTTAGGAGGTCTCTTAATCCTGGGTGTAAGGCTTTGAGCTTTTGCAATCTTGGGGCTATTAGGAGAATTAAACGGTGGCTTAAATGTAAAATGATCTCAGTGCCTGCAGTCTTTGTCTGCTTATCTCCGCTCTGAAAGGCGGAGGTGACCACAGTGCATCTGACACACTTTTTGTTCAGCAGCTCTACATCTAAATTTCCAGCGCCAAAATGCCAAGTGGGAATTGTAATTAGGTCAAAGAGAATTTCACACCCACGTAAAATAAATGTAGAGAGGTCAGGAATAGATTTGGGAGCAAGAACGACACTTTCAGAGTGAAGTTTTGCAGCTTCCTGCACAGGGTTACATGGGGCATTACAATACTGGAGTGAACGTACTAAAACTTGCCCTGAAAGAAGTAAAATGATTATTTTTTACAGGACTGACAGTAGGGATAGGCATAACTAGCGGGAAGGACCTTTGTAGAGAGCTTGCGATGCTCTGAGGCTTTGTCTTACCAGTTCAGTGACCACAATAAACTTTTATTTGACAGCTTGTGTGGTACTGAGATAACAGTCTCAGTCTGGTCTTGAAGCCTGGCAGCAGTATCGCAATAAATTCATCAGCACCAGCTGTGGTATGGGGTTTGATGCACTGCTCAAGACAGAGCTCAGCACAGAGGCTAAACAGCTTGCTCAGCTGCTCGAAGGCATCTCAGCAAGATTCAGCAACAATCACCCTGGTTGCTTTGCTATCCTCAGTCGGTGTATGCTTCCCACAGAGTATTTTTCTAAAGACTTTCTAAATATTTGTCTCTTCCAGGTAACTTTTCCAGGCGTGTCTGTTCCGTGCCCTCTTTGACAGGTGCCGTTGGGGCCCAGTGCCCTGCATCCGGGGCTGACTCACCAGCGGCAGCTGCATGGGCTGGGAGGGGAGACACAGGGCTGGTCCCTCCCTTGGATTTTCTCCTGACTTCTGCAGTGGTTTGAAGTGGGACTCCAAAGTACTCATAGAAGATAACCATTGCGTTTCCCCATTCGTTCGCAGAACATACTAGATCCCGTATTCCCTCTTTGAATCGCCTCTATGGTGTACTGGCACATGTGGTCCTATTTTGACCACAAGAGTATCAAGCTTGCAGTCGCTAGTAGAGCAATTGCGTGAGCAACATTAGATACACATGAGAAAAATGAGGAAGAGAAGGAATTACTCATTTGTGATAAGACATCAGGATAAATCCTTATGGAAAAAACTAGCCTAATGAACGATACTAATAATAGATAATTAGTGGAGTTTTGTTTTGTTTCCAGCCGCAATTTCATCTTCTTGGGCAGGCTACGTAGCGATACCATCTCGCTAATGCTCTGAAGAACTTTGTGGGGAGAAAACAGGACAAGATGTACAAAAGCATTGCTGCTGGTCTGTCTCCAGCCTCACCGGAGCACAGTTGGGTCTGTTCTGAAAAACCCACCGGGGACTTCTTGTTTGTACAGTCCTGTTCCTCTAACAACACTGCAACAGCCAAGTTAATCAAGTCCGTGCTTGTCAAACCCTCAGTCAAGTATAAGATTATCTTTGTCACAAAGAATGTCTTGGAAACACACCCAGCCCCGACCCCAGCCCCAGCCCCAGCTGATGAATGTACATCCCAGGTGGCTGCCTAGGAGTGTTTGGGGCAAAATGTGTTTCAAGAATTCAGTGCTTCCCTCCCTCTCTACTCATCACTCCTGTAAGAGTAATCTGAATTAGACATTAAATGTCTTTGTTTTTAAAATGTTGATTATACTTCAGCATTACCAAACGGTCTTCGTTTTCCTCAGGAGAGTGACTTTATTAGTATTAAGTCAAACCCTTCTCATGTTTGTAATAGGAGCAGCTCAGCTAGTCACAGGGGCTATACACGCCTGGTATAACTCATAATCTGCTCTGCAGGCTAAAACTTATCTGTGGGGTCTGCTGTTGCCTGGCTGGAAAAGTGTTTACCCCACCGTGTTTGCATGCATTATCCTTCCTTGCTAATAATTAAGAATGCAAGAAAAAATTGACAAAAATTGAGCAGAAGAAAGACGGGGTCATGAAAAGTAAAAGCACAAGACCAATTATTTGTGGTGCATTTGGGATCTCATGCTTGGCATATCACAGTAACACAACATAAATTGGAAATTGTCTCTCTTTTAAGACTCCAGGCCTCCTCAGTATCGTCCTTTGCAGGACATTAGTGTAGCTGAATGTCTGCAAGCGGCTGATGCTCTGATCAGATGTATTATGGACTCTGTTATACTGTATTTTGCACCCAAAGTGGTGGAGACAAAGAAGGAATTAAGAATACCTATTTTTTCTGTAATACTTCTCATCAGGAGGTCTCAGAGTGTTTCAGAAAGATTAGTATAAACCAGACCGTACTGTTGTTCCTGGAGCACAATACCCTTGTTTAGGAAAGGGCCTTTTACCATGGAATTGAAGCAGAAATAGCAGCCCATGTGTTACAGAGCCCCACAGCCCAGCCTGGGGAGTCAGCCTCTTAATATGTGCATTCCTCACCTTATCAGAGCAATGCTTATAACGCTCCATCCTGGGATTTATGCTAATGACCATATGAGACATGAGTTTTCTTTTTCATTTTTAATGTATTTTCTATAGAGTGAGGTGCCCTGTTTTGTGACCATTTAGTATTCAAAGCCTGTTTTTGCCTTATCAGTCTTTTCAGCAGGCTTTAAAGACCTGCTGCTTCCCAAAGGCTTGTGGGCTGTGCTACAGGACGGTGTCCCTCGCGCTGCAGCTCAGTGGGGGCTTTGCCATATGTCGGGGCTCGGGGCTGGGGAGGCTCTGTTCTGCCCCCGACAAAGCGAGGGAGGGCGTGAGCAGCAGCGACGGCACGCTGGGGGCTGTGTCTGGCAACGAACAGATTGAAACGGTTCAACGGCTGCTTTATATTTGGCATTGCCAAAGGATTTTCTATTCCTCCACATTAGGAATGCAGCAGATACGAAGCAGCATCCACTTTTAGCAGGAAGGGAGCAACAGAGCTGAGCGAAATATCCTCCAAAATCTTCTTGATTAATACAGAGAGTCAGACACAGCAGATGACTTCATTTTAGCAAGCCCAGATTGGGGGGCTTTTATGCAGTGCAGTCAAATGGTGGTAAAAGATGGGGTAAATGGGTGACCCTCAAGAGATGTTTAGGAGGCCATGGTAGCCGTCAGGGAGAAAAAGGCTTCGTATCCAGGGGCAAAGTTGTGGTTTGAGCATGGGAGACAGCAAGGCTGCTCTGAGTCATAGCAGGCTGCAACACGTGAACGGCAAATTCTCACTCCGAGGAGTAGGTGGGCCTTTGCAGAATAGAAAATAGCTGAACCAGGCAACCCTGGCCGCACAGACCAGCCCATGGAAACCACTGGCGTGCTCTGCGTGTGTTTTTATAGACTGCTGTCCCAAAGAATGCATAATGCCAGATTACTGACTGGTGTTAAGTAGGCTCTGCTGTACATACTCCCGGGGTGATCTAATCTCTCCAGCTTGAATTGTTGCAGTTATTTAGCAACAAGGCAACGGAGGAGCTGCAGAGAGGGGTGAAGGGGAGATGCAAGATATTTTGTGCATTACAGTATGTGTCTAGCCCAGTTCAGTGCTCCACGACACAGCACAAAAAGGGACATTGTTTAATCGCCGTCAATAAATGAGCTGTAAGCTCTGTTCCAGGCATGACGACAGCAGCTCATTTTCTTGCCTCGTCGCCGGCGGACGCGCTTCCGCTTACTCCTGGCACTGCATCTCTTACAGTCGTGGTGGTGCTTGGGTGGGGGCTGAAAGCAGGGAACTGGGGGACTCTCCCAGATTTCCCCAGACTGGAACCATGGGCTTGTAGAATGGAATATATCTCTTACTGAGCTATGAAGTGAGACCTCCTCCACGCCCAAATCTCACACTTTTGGGACCTCTCTGGTGTATAATGGGGGCAATGCGTTAATGCAGTCCTCATCTAAGGCTTGGCTTTATGGCCCAATAAGGCAAAACACTGAAAGAGGTGGTTTAATTGCAGCATGATGGACTGCGTATTGCTTGGTCGGAATGAGTGCAATAAAAGACCAGTCACAGCCCACTCAGGTCTTAATCCCTGGAGCGGTACAGTCTCTCCTAGT